AGCAAACCAGGAAAGCTCCGACTCCTCGAGGAACCAGGTTCGGTGAGAACGATAAAAGACGAGGGGCTGTACACGCCCCTCCCGCGGACCCCTCTCCCAGCTCTCCTTCTTCTGCAAGCCAAAGTGTAAGTTCTAACTGTGGTGAAGCACACATTACATAAACTTGACCATCTTAGCCATTTTTAAGTCTACAGCTCAGTGGCATTAAGTACATTCACAGTGCTATACAACCATCACCACTATCCACAGAACTCTTTTCACCTTGCAAAATTGACACTCTGTCCCCATTAAACAACTTCCTCTTCTCCCCTCCCCCCAGCCCCTGGCAACCACCAGTCTACTTTCTCTCTCCAGGAATTTGACTACTGGACCTCGTATAAGTGGAATCATACAGTATTTGTCCTTCTGTGACTGGCTTATTTCACTTAGTATAATGTCCCCAAGGTTCATCCATGTTGTAGCATATATCAGAATTTCCTTCCTTTTTAAGGTTGAATAATGAATACTATTTCCATTGTATGTATATACCACATTTTGTTTATCCATTCATCCGTCAGTAGACACTCGGGTTGCTTCTACCTCTGGCTATTGTGAATAATGCTGCTATGACCAGGGGTGTGCAAATATCTCTTCAAAATCCTGCTTTCAATTCTTTTGGGTATATGCCCAGAAGTGGAATTGCTGGATCATGTGGTAATTCTGTTTTTTACTTTTTTTAAACATATGCTTTTTTTTTTTTTTTTTTTGGTGAGGAAGATTAGCCCTGAGCTAATATCTGTTGCCAATCCTCGTCTTTTTGCTGAGGAAGATCGACCCTGGGCTAACATCTGTGCCCATCTTCCTCTACTTTATATGTGGGACGCCTGCCACAGTATGGCTTGATAAGGGGTGCGTAGGTCTGTGCCTGGGATCTGAACCCCCAAACCCCAGGCCACCAAAGCGGAGTGTGCGAACTTAACCCCTACGCCACCAGGCCGGCCCCTATTCTTCACTTTTTGAGGAACCTCCATACTGTTTTCCATGCAGCCACACCACTTTACATTCTTACCAACAGTACACAAGGGCTCCAATTTCCCCAGACCCTCACCAACATCTGCTATTTTCTGGTTTTTTAATAATAGCCATCCTAATGGGTGTGAAGTGGTATCTCATTGTGGTTTTGATTTGCATTTCCCTATTGAAAGTGAGATTTTGCACTAGAAACAGGTCTAAAACAACCAAAGAAAGATTATAATTAAATTTTTTAAAAAGGTGAAAGTGCTAGCGTCCTCAAAATGCTGTTGGCTAGAAGCACTGTGTCCCTGACATCCCTGTGGTGAGGACCCCCTGAAGCCCAGCGCCACTGGGTAACATAAGCAGCTCAGAACAGACACAGACGTCGCTGGCACGCTCGGCGCTCGCCCCCCGCTCGGCGCTCGCCCCCCGCTCGGCGCTCACCCCACGCAAGCATTAACGGTCACTGGGGAAAACCTCAGCCCCGAAGTTGGAGGGAGAGAGCTTAAAAAAGGTGTTAAGAGTGCTACAGGTGTTTCCCATACAGAATGTTACTGTCAAAATTGTCCCGCACGGGCGAACTGCTGGATAAAACCCTGCACTTGCACCAGCACCTGGCACTGGCCAGAGAAACAGCAGGGTGCCTTCTGCACATTCACACCTGCTGCTGAGCCTAGGGCCGCTGTCAAAGCCGCAGTCTGCTCCCCTGCTCACCGCTAATTCACCAAAACACAAAAACTCTCCATGCAAAACCACCTATCTGTGTTTCGCTTCAAAATAATCCAAGGGGGGAAATATAAATTAAACAAAATCAGCTATAAGTTGATAATTGCTGAAGCTAGGTAATGGGAACATGAGGGTTCGTTATATTATTCTATTTTTATATTTTCTCCATTAAAAAAGAAAACTTCTCTGAGGAGGTAAGCACTTTGCGTGTCGTTTTATACATTTCCAGCAAGCCCGTGACACAGGCAGCGGGCAGGTGAGATCAATAAGTTACAACGAAAACAGCGCAGCTTATCAAGGTCGCTCAGTGCAGACGAGAGTCCAGAGGGTACCAGGTGCCCCCCCCACACACACTTTGGCTTCCCTCACGGCTCTCCACCCCAATTCTCAGGCCTCACTCCACACTCCCAGCTCCTATGCAGATGAAGACAGCAAATCACCGCCCAGGACCCGGCAGGGAGGCACCCGGCCTCCCCCCTCATTTTTCCAACGAAGTTCCCTCATGCCTCATTTTCCTGCCTGTTCCTTTCTGTCCCTTCCTGTTGTGCCCCAGTGCACACTAACTGAAAAATGGTGAACTCTTGACCACACACATCGCCAATTCTGCAAAACTCTGGTAACAGTACACCAGCCTTCAGTCACCAAACTGACATGCTGCGATTCTGGATTCATAAACTTCGCCATTTGAATGTGGTGCTGCCAGTCTATCACTGAGAAGGTAGGAAAGATTCCCAAGAGCAGAGTCTGTTCTGGAAAGCCTCTGAAGAAACGGGGCTCACCAGGCCCTAATCGCAGCATCAGTGGGTGAGTCTCACTCCAGCTGCCAAGATAAGGATGAGAGCCTCAGGTCGGGGCACAAGGCCAAGCGAGCGCAGCCGGGGGGCAACGGGGGACGACAGCTGGGTGTGCAAGTGTCCGAGGCGTCTAACTGCCTGCCTCTGCCAGGTGGCCTCCACCACACACCTAGCTGGGGGTGGGACTCCAGGTGGGGCCAGAGGGCTCTCCTCCAGACAGGGAGCACTGAGATCTGGGAAGCCATACACAGCGAGGATGCGGCAGCCACAGTCCTCCCATTAGGAGGGGCCCACAGAAACCACATCAGCTGCCCAGCATTCCCTGCTTCAGGGGCAGTGACGAGGCTGTGGTGACAGCCTGGGCACAGGCAAAGACCTGAAGTGAATGGCCAAGCCACTGAATCCACCCTACTTCTCCAGGACAGAAAACCCTCAAAACTTGGAGATGAGTCATCAGGAGATGATGCTGTACAACCAAGGGGGAAAGGCTGAGACGTCATAGTACGTCTGCCTTGTTCTCAAGAGTTCCAGGCCAAACAGGAAATGCCAAGATCCGCAGGAGAGGCAACATCTGCGTCCCGGCCACTCGCTCTGTCCCTCCCCGTGCACCTGTCCCCACAAAGACACTGGTGCAGGACGCTTCCTATTGGTCTTAGAGGCCTCTGTGGTGATCACGCCCTCACCCTCCTGCACAGCATCAACGCCCGCTGCGCCTTGGACCCGCCCACGGGCAGCCCACACATGCTCTGACGCCTCCCTAACCCCTGCACCGTCTGCAGCCAGTGCCCACTCTTGCTGCTACTTTTTAAGGTAAGAGTCCTTGAAAGAACTGTCACGAGTCACTGGTCTCCACTTCCTCACGTCTCATTGGCCCAGTGGCTCCTCGGCCAACTCCAGGTGTGTGTCCACCCCCAGAACACATGGCAGCTGTGTTCAAGGCCACTGACAGCCCTGCTTTGTCAAAACCAATGGCAATTTCCTGTCCTCACCCTCCTTCACCTCCCGCAGTACAGCTGACTGCTCCTCTCTACTGAAGGGCTTCCTCTCGAGGCTTCCACACACGAAATCTCCTGGTTCCCTGTACCTGAGGCCACTCACTCACAGCCAACTTGAGAGCGGACTTTTCTCCTCAGCCCCACCTCTAGCACCCCAGGGCTCAACATTCAGATCTCTCCTCGTCTAACATACTCTCCTTCGATGATCTCATCCAGTCCACCTTTTCCTCTGACAGTGGCCAAGACTTTCATCTCCAGGATGGTCACTGACACAAGAAATGACATCTCCATGTGGCTGGCTAATGGACCATTCAAATCCTTCTGCCCCAATATTCCATCTCAGAGCATGGTACCACCACCCACCCCTTCACTCTGCAGAATCATTCCAAATCCAGATCATACCATCTACCTTATCGTCTACCAAGAGTTAGGAAAGAAGCAGAAAAGTTGGAGCAAAACTCCCACTTACTGAGAACTGTACATTCCTACATGACCTGGCTCCTCCACGTCTCTGTCTTCACCTGAGCTCCAGCCACGTGGCCTTCTTTACATCCCCTGCACAGGACAAGCTCATTCCTGCCTCTGGGCCTTTGCAAATGCTGCTCTCCCCGCCTGGAGCTTTCTTCCCCAGATCCCCACATGGCTGCCTCTTCACCAGGACTCAGGTCTCACCCACAAGTCACCTCCACAGAATGCCCTTCCTCAACTGCCCTAGCCAAGGAGATACTTCCTCCCTGCTCTGTTGCTCAGTAGGCTGATACTGCTTTTGGTTAAACACAGGCAGTACAAAGGCAGGGTCATTGTCCACTCTTACCTCCCAGAGCCTAGAAGAGGGCCCGGCCCACGGTCACATGCGCACAAAGCACCCTGCTGCCGATGTCTCACTGGGGTGTTCCCAGGGTGTGGATGGAGGGGGACAGACACGTGACTGGGCCAGAGCCCCAAGTATTCCTGAACCCCCAAGGCTGAAGCGGGGGCCCCTTCATCTGGTTTTCAATCACCCTGGCCTTCCCCATCACAGTACTTAATGGTCTATTTTTTTTGTTGTTTTTTGGCAAGGAAGACTGGCCCTGAGCTAACATCCAATGCCAATCCTCCTCTTTTTGCCAAGGAAGATTGGCCCTGAGCTAACATCTGTGCCTATCTTCCTCCACTTTGTATGTGGGACACTGCAGCAGCACGGCTTGATGAGCGATACATCAGTCCACGCCCGGGATTCAAACCTGGGAACCCCAGGCAGCCAAAGCGGAGCACGCACACGCAAATGCTATGCCACCGGGCCGGCCCCTTAATGGTCTATTTTATAGTTCACTTGCCGCAGGTTCCGGGAGGACAGGGCTCCTCAACCCTGAGCGCCTTCCCGTCCAGAGCCTCACGGGGGCCAGGCAAATAAAAAGCACGTGAATTACTAAATGAATTACTAAATCACTAAAGTCGTGATTTACTAAATGAAGGACTCAGCAAGGGAATGTGGCCGCTCTCACCCACTCACCCAGAAGACGATGTTGTAGCTGAAGAGGAGGTACTTGTACCAGCAGCTGACCTCGGCGCTGGAGTATCTGTAATAATGCATCTTCCGAGAGGTAGGACCTGCGGAGAGACACAGGGTGATGAGACGGCAGCTCCACTCACAGGCTCCCCCACCTGCTCCCCAGGAGAGGGCACAGGGAGGCTCACAGGCTCCCCCACC